TTATCTGTAATAGTTTTACAATGGATTAGTTTTGGGTTTTGGTGGTTGTTTTTTTTTCGGTTTTCTTTTTTTTTGTCCACCCCTAAAATTTCTGGGCTGTGGATGTGCTAAGGAATTATTAATTTATTTTTACTTAAATTGGAATGCAGGTTGAAAACTCTGTTGTACAACATGAAAGTGAAGTTCGTGCCCAGGAAATATAATTGATTTTTGGATTATCTAGAACTATTGCCTCTTAACAGATAATCAGAATAATCTGTCTGGTTGCTTTCTTTGAAAGGGTGATATGATTTCTTGCAGTTTTGCTTCTTAAATCCTGTTAGCTTACTATTTTAGTTTCTGTATGTTGTGGTTAAGGAAGTTTAGTTGTTTTTTTCTCAGTTTTATTCTTTCCAGTTTCTTTAAAGTCCTATATCATGGACTGACTAAATTCTTTTTACAGAAAGGACCTATTTTCCTTGAGTATCTTGGGAAAGATGATAGTGGTGCCGAGAGTAAATAGAATACAGTGTTTTAGCAGCTAGAAAGAAATTTCTTAGATTTAGGTAAGATCCAAACACTTTTTTTCAACCCAATATGTGCATAATTAGAAACCGAATAATTAGAAACCAGAATAATTGGAAACTGAATATTCATAAGAAGAACAGGATGCTTAGAAAACTGTTTGAGGATTTGCTTTTTTCACATTCTTTTTGTATAACCTAAGCATAGGTGTCTAAAAATACTAAACAGTATTTGGCTAAGAACTTTGGGACTGAAATATTTTAGTTAATGGTTGATTCCTGTTTACTTTAGGGGTACAGTATACTTTATACTGTCCAGTACAGTAATCCTTAACCACATATGACTATTGAGCACTTGAAATGCAACTAGTCCAAATTGACTGTGCTAAATGTAGAATAAACACTTTATTTATTTATTTATTATTATTATTTTTTTTGCGGTACGTGGGCCTCTCACTATTGTGGCCTCTCCCATTGCGGAGCACAGGCTCCGGACGCGCAGGCTCAGTGGCCATGGCTTACGGGCCCAGCCGCTCCGCGGCATGTGGGATCTTCCCGGACCGGGGCACGAACCTGTGTCCCCTGCATCGGCAGGCGGACTCTCAACCACTGTGCCACCAGGGAAGTCCATAAACACTGTATTTTGAGACTTTAGCACACATAAAATAAACATATCTCATAAAGATATTTTTATCCAATATTTTTATTGGAGTCATATTTTCTATATAATGGGTACAATGAAATTCAAATTTCATATGTTTCTTTTTACTTTTTAAAATATGTCTAGTAGCAAATTTAAAATTACATATTTAGCTCACCTCATATTTCTATTGGACAGCAATGTTCTATACTAATATTTCCTAGCCTTAAGACTCCTTTCACAATAAAATATGAATCCTTTTCCTTGAAATTTTTAAATGATTTTATTATTTTGGATGGTATTTATTGAGGAAATATTTATTAAGGGCCTACTATGTGCCCAACAGTATTTTAGGATACAGCAGTGAATGAAAACATTCAGATCCTGCCTTCATGCAGCTTTCATTCTAATGGGAAAAATGTATGATAAATAATTTTTAGTAGAAAAAAATTTAATGAACTATTATTTGTTCTAAGCATACTATTGGCTATTATATATAATTTCACGTAATATAATTTTAATACAGTACTTAATTTATTGAATGACATGTGCTATTTCATTTGGCATTTATCTTGCTTTGTGTTCTCTGCATTTCCTGGATCTGTGGCTTGATGTCTGACATTAATTTGAAGGAATTCTCAATCATTATTTCTTCAAATATTTCTTCTCTCTTCACCTTCAGTATTTGCATTACATGTATGTTAACACCTTTTGTAGTTGACCCACAATTCTTGGATATTCTGTTCCTTTTTTGTTTTTTTTTTTTCAGTCTCTTTCCTCTTTCCTTTTCATTTTGGAAGTTTCTATTGACATATCCTCAAGCTCAGAGATTCTTTTCTCAGCCATGTCCAGTCTACTAATGAGCCTATCAAAGGTATTCTCATTTCAGTTATGGTGTTATTGGTCTCCAGCATTTCTTCTTGATTCTTTCTTAGAATTCCCATCTATTTCCATATCTTTGCTTACATTATGCGTCTGTTATTGCATGTTGTCTACTTTTTCCATTAGAGCCCTTAGAAAATCATAATTTGTTTAAGTTCTTTTAAAGTCACAGTCTGATAATTCCAACATTCCTCTCATATCTGAATCTGGTTCTGATGCTTGCTCTGTCTCTTCAAACTGTTTTTTGTCTTTTAGTATGCCTTGTAATTTCCTTTTGAAAGAGGGGACATGATATACCTAGTAAAAGGAACTTTAGTAAATAGGTCTTTAGTAAGATGTGAGGTATAGAGGAAGCATTCTATAGTCTGGTGATTAAGTCTGTCTTTTAGGGAGGCTGTGCCCCAACTTCACAAATGCTTCACAGATTTTTCCACCTCTTAGGTGGGATAGGATGGCTACATGGGGCTGGGGTTAGGTATTTCCCTTCCCCCACATGGAAGGCTAGTAAAAGCAGGAGTGGGGTATTTCTTTACTTTTAAGAAAAAGCAAGACTCTTCAACAGATTTCTTAGAAAGTAATATGTCATCTGTCACTTCTTTATCTTCATTTTATTTGACCTCACTATGGCATTTGATAGAGCTGCCCATGTCTTTTTAACATACTTTTAAACACTTTGGAATCTCAATTACCTACACTCTGGAATTTCCTTTTCTCTCACTAACTGGACTTTCTTTTTTCTTTCTTTCTTTTCCTTTTTTTTGGGGGGGGGGGTTGGGGTTTTTTTTTAACGTTTTAATGAATGGGAGTGTGCATTTAAAAAAATTATTTACTTTTTGGCCACACTGTGCAGCATGCAGGATCTTAGTTCCCTGACCAGGGATCAAACCTGTGCCCCCTGCATTGGGAGCTCAGAGTCTTAACCACTGGACTGCCAGGGAAGTCCCACTAACTGGACTTTCTAAGTCTCCTCTTAGGGCTCTTCCTCCTTTGTAACACCTCTTCCTTTGTTCAGATAAATGTGAGTGAACCCCCTGGCTTGATCCTGAGCTCCTTTCTCTCTCTGGCTCATTATGTCTAGACAAGTTTGTAATTTTTGTTCCACAAACACCCCTAATTTATTCCTGCTTTACAGATTTCTATTAATTGTCTTTTTTCCTTGGAAAGCTCTTACCCCAAACCTTGGTTAGCTTGTTATTGTCATTTCAAGTCTCAGAGCAGATGTCGCCAACACAGAAGTCTTCCTTCATCTACAAATCTAAATTAGCTCCTACTGCAGTGTAGTTATGCTCTATTACTTTACTTTGTTTATTTTTATAAAAACACTGTGAGAACCCTATTTACTTCTGATCTTTTTGTTTTCTTGTTTGTATATTCTCTATCTACCATTTGCTAGCTAGAATGTAGGCTCTGTGAGAATAGAAACCTTATTTGTCATGCTGTCTACAATCTTTCTGGTACCTAGGTTAGTGTCTCTTACATACTTCTCAATAAATATGTGTTAACTGAACTGTTGAATGTTTGATCTTAGATCAAATATATATTAAGTGGAGGTTAAAATCCAGCTTCTACCAAAAATAGACAAAACTACATTTATGACTTAATGTTGGCCATTTCTTCATTTTCTGCTTTTACAGAGTCAACTGGTTAATTTCCATATTTTTTGGAAAATTTTTATTTGTTTTGTTTTTAAAAGATGAAATAGGTTTACAGCTGTCATTCACAAGTACTTCTCTATAACTCATTGTGGTATGGATGGATTTATACCCAAATGAAAACCAGATGGTCTTACTTGTGGTTAGTTATTCTCACTGTCTTAAGTTGGCTTCTGAAATACTGGAGATACCTTTTAGATGCTATAAAATAATTTTGATCATTAGTTATGGAACTAATGGAGATATCTTCAGGTGAATTTGCAGAATTATTTTATGCTCTCAAATCAGTATTCCTTATGCATTCTTCCTCTCACCAGTTGTCTATTACGTGTAAAAATGAAATAATATACCATTGAAAATAATTACAGTTTAAAACTGTATAATGGTCAAAACCATTATTCAGAGTTAACCTGAATGGTAAATTCAGTGACTTTCAGGAGTTTGCACGTCTGATTTCCACTAATTCCAAGACATATTATCTTCTGTATGTTTATGTCAAAGGCTCCTCAGTTGTTATGTTTTAAATAGTTGTTAAATGTTTATTTTATTGTTTATTTTAATTTTGAGGAAGTGCAAGTTAATCAATTTTTTTCTCTTATGAATGTTTTTTGTGTCATAGCTAAAAAAAAATCTTTGCCCAACCCAGTTTCACAAAGATCTCCTATTTTTTTCTAGACATTTTATGGTTTTAAGTTTTACATTTAGGTCTATGATCCATTCTGATGCATGTGACTATTTTTGTATAAGGTATGAGGTGTGGGTTAAGGCTCAGGATTTTGCATATGGATGCCTTATTGTTCCAGAATCATTTGTTTTTTAAAAAACTAAGTCTTTCTGCATTGAATTGCCATTACATCTTTGCCAAAAATCAATTGACCATAGATGTGTGGGTCTATTTCAGAGCTCTCTATTTATCTGTCTAATTATCTGTCCATTCTTTTGCCAATCTATGTTTATTTTGACTACTGTAAGTAGGTAGTATGAGTCCTTCAGCTTTGTTCTTTTTCTTGTTTGGGCTATTGTAGTTGCTTTCCCTATCCATACAAATTTATGAATCAGCTTGTTGATATTAGCAAAAATTCTGCCAAGATTTTGATTGGGATTGTGTTGAATCTATAGATCAGTTTAAGGAGAATTAACATTGTAACAATATTGAATAATTAATCCATGAACACAATCTGTCAGTCCATTTATTTAGATCTTACTTGATTGTTTTTCATTGGTGGTTGTTTTTTTCAGTGTGTAGTTCCTGCACATTTTTTGTTTGATTTATACCTAAGTATTTCATATTTTTAAGCTATTGGAATTAATATTATTTTAAAAATTTCTATTTCTGTTTTTTTCATTTCCAGTATCTAGAAATATAAATGATTTTTGTATCTTGACCTTATTATGTCTGCTACCCTAGTAAACTCATTAGATCTAGGAGCTTTTTTTATAGATCCCTTGGGATTTTCTATGTAGAAAATCATGTCATCAATGAATAGACACAGTTTTACTTTTTATTTTCCAGATTTCTATGCATTTTGTTTCTTTTTTCTTCTTCTGTTCCACTGGCTAGGACCTCTAATGTGATGATAAATAGGAGTGATAAGAACAGACACCTTGCCTCATTCCCAGTCTTATAGTAAAAGCATTCAGTCTTTCATCATTAACCATGAAGCGGCCTCTAGGCTTCTGTGTAGATACTCTTTTTCAGGTTAAGCTATTTCCCTCCTTTTCCTAATTTACTGAGTTCTTTTTTTTTTCTAATTATGAACAGATACTGGATTTTGTCAGATGCTTTTTATTTTTTTTCTTTAGTCTTTTGATATGGTGAATTTCAATAATTAATTTTTTTAAAATGTTGAACGAGTCTTACATTCATGGAAGAAGGCATACTTGGTTGTGACTTATTATTCTTTTTATATATTGCTGTGTTTGTAACAGTTATTTTAAAAATAATAACTGAAATAGGTGTTGTTACTACTTAAATTCTGGAATACCTTTAAAAATCATAACTCTCTTCTCTGTTTATTAATTCAGCCAACAAATATCTGACAATTATTGTGTGCTAGACATTGTTTTAAGTGCTGCAGATTAGAATATTGAACAAAATTGAGTTCTGCCCTTAGACTATATTACTTTCTAGAATGTAATATAAAGTCAGGTTCTGACATTAGCACCCCGAGGAACAATAAAACAGTGTAGGGGAATGGAGAATCATGAAGTGAGGGGCTAAAGCTATTTTAAATAATTAATCAAGGCAGGACTCTCTGAGGAAGTGACTGTAGAGCAGAAACATGAATGAAGTGAGGGAGCTAGCTATCTTATTTGTGGAAATTGTTCCAGCAAATATGAAGTCCTGAAGCAAAGACTTGTTTGGTGTGTTTCAAGAATAACACAGAGGCTAGTGTTTATGGAGTGCAGTAACCCATAGAGATAGTTACAGGAGGCTAAGTAGTCAGGGACTTGATAGTGTAGAACTTTGTAGGCCATGGTAAGAAAAACTTTGGATTTTAAGTATAATGGCAACCACTTATTTTTCAACAAATATTAATTCAGTATCTGCTATATGTTAGATACTTTTGCGTCTTGACAACATACTAGTTAACAAATAATGAAAAATCCAAGCAGTTGTAGATCTTAGAAATGTTAGTAATAAGTGTAGTTGTTTACGTTAATATGGAGGTAGTCAGAAGTGGTAGAGTTTAGAAGGATCAGTTAGTAAGCCTTGTTTATACACAGTGATTACATATTTAGGTATTTTAAAAAATTGGAGTAAATGGACTTGAGTTTTATGCTAAAACTATATGAACATAATTTAACCTTTTTTAATAATAGGAAATAGTTATTTTCCTGAGTTTCTTTTGGTTGCAAAGTAGAGAGACTTTCAGGCTAGGGTTTTTTAATAAGGATAGAGTCGGGAGTAGAATACAGAAGAACTTCATGGAAATCCTAGAATAGGAACTGTGATATGGCTGGGCCTTCCAGAGTCCAGGATCCCCAGATCTTTATATCCAAGTGTGTTAATTATCTATTGCTATGTAATACATTACTCCAAAATTTAAAACATTTATTTCACAGCTTCTGGGGGTCAGGAATTTAGGCATGGCTTAGCTGGGTGCCTCTGGCTCAAGGTTTCTCACAAGGCTGCAGTCAAAGTGTTGGTTGGAGCTGCAGGCATCTGAAGGCTTGACTGAGGAAGGATCTGCTTCTCAGATCATTCACATGGCTAGTTGGCCGGCTTTAGGTCATTAATGTCTGTTGGCTGAAGACAATAGTTCTTTGCCGTGAGGGTCTTCCCAGCTCACAACATGGCAGCTGGTGCTCCCGAATGAGAGGGGTGACAAGATGGAGGCCACAGTATCTTTGTAACCTAATGTTGAAAGTGGCATCCCATTATCTCTGCTGTATTCTGTTTGCTAGAAGCAAATCACTAAATCCAGTCCACACTGTAGAGGAGAGGATTACACAAAGGCATGAATACCAGGAGATGGGTATTATTAAGATCACTTTAGAAGCTGCCTATCATACCAAGTAAGCCCTAGAGATCTTACCAGAGTTTTTGTGTGTATGTTTTATTCTAGTTCTCTACCATAAAGGTTCCTTAGCCACTGTCAATGTCTACATTTCTTTCCCTTCTCTTTTTTCTACCAACTCCATTTCTTATCTCTTAATCTATGTATCTTTTTTCTGCTTCTTATTTTTAGTTTCTCCTTATCTTTAGTTTATCCAGGGCCTAAGATGAATTCCACTGCTTCTTCTTATTTCACCTTCTGCCCCTGCTGCTAGCCACTTTGATTATATCCTTAGCACCCTGTTCAAATTTCTGAAAGAGAGAAGGTGGGTAAGGAGGAGATAGAGTATAATATCTTTTGAATATGATTACCTCAGAGAGAACTGTGATTAGGGCAGTTTCTCTCAGAGAGCAATGTAGTTATTTAAATACTATTGTAGATGTTTATAAATTAGAAGTTATAGGTCATTGAGTGATCAAGTGACAGACTGAGTCTTGAAAAAAAATTTCCCAATGCTAGCTTGTTTTATAATTATTTTTCTATTTCTCATAAAAGTAGAGTGCAAAATATACTTTTAAAAAGAAAACCCAATATTATGGTTATTTTTGTTTTCCTGTTTGTTTTGGATTTAGAATAAATGAAAATCTGTTATATATAAGATTTATTATTTTTGAGGCACTATATAAAAGTGTATAAATTTTAAGACAGAAAATTATACAGAAATCTACATTTTTTTGGAGACATTATACAGTAAAATATAAAAAAGGCAAACATTTATTTTTATCACACAGGATTAACAACGATTAACATTTGCTCATATTTCATTTAATCTTTTTCCCCCAAGTAATAAAATATTGTAGTTAAAATTCAGCTCCTCTTAAAACACCACTCTTAGTTCTGTTTCATGGAACTTACCTGATGCAACTACTGTTACAACTTTGGTGGGTATTTTTCTGGTTCGTCTTTTATTCTTGTAAACACATAAACACACACATGTATATGTACATAAGTATGGTATGGTTTTGTGTTTGTGTTTTATTTATATGGTACCATACTATATATAATCTGCACCATTTCTTTTTTTTTAAACTTTATTCTGTTTTTGAGGTTTGTCCATATTGATACATATAGATCTAGGTCATTTTTTTAAAACTGCTATTCTAGTATTCCATCATGTTTTAATATCCATTCTCTCACTGTTAGATGTCTAGGTTACTTTGAAAGAGTGTTTTGCTCATACAAACACTGATCTCTTGTGCACCTGTGACAAACACATTTTCCACATTATTGTCAAATTATAGAATCAATTTATAGTTGAAACAGATGTGAGAAATCTTATTTACCCATGTTCCCATGGTAAGTGATATTTTCAGACTTACCCTCTTTTCAGTTTGGTGATTAGAAAACTGGTCTCTTGCATTATTAATCTGCATTTCATTTATTACTGGTAAAGTTGAGTATATGTTTAATGACCATTTGGATGTCATCATCTCTGAAGTGTCCGACTGTTGTAACCTTTGCCCGTTTCTAGGAGTTCTTAATATATTCTGGATACTAATCCTTTGTCTATTGATATATGTTGCAGTTATCTTCTCCTAGTCTATCACTTGCTTTTAACCCTGTGTGTAGATTTTTATTTTAATTGCATAGAAGTTTTTGTGCCTTTTTTTCCTTTTGATCATTCTTATTAGTCTTTGCAAAGAATCAGCTTTAGGTTCTGTGTTTTTAAACAAGAATGAAGGGTGTAGAGTTACAGCTACCTCCTGGGGACATACAGTATGGGAGTGTGGCCATTCAAATGGCTATTAACTGTCATGTGCATTGAAACAAAAATTATGGAGTGTCATAGTTCCAAAGTGCCTTCAAAAACTTTTAATTGTTAATGAAGAAAATTTTTTTCACTAACTCTTCAATCTTCATAATTTTTTCATCATAATTTTTAATAGTACTAGATTAACTTTTTTATGAGTCAGAATATATGGTTTTATACTTTTTTAATAAAATAAAATTTGTTTAATTATGGAATTAATCTTTAGTGTCATCTGTTACATTCCCCCCTATTTTTCAGGCAGGAGTAAGAGCTTCTATAATGATAATTGATGACTATCCATTTGTGAAAAGGAAAATAATGATTGCAGATGATTTTTCAGAAAAAAAATTTTTGCACATTGCAGGTTAGGCTAGTTTTTACTACCACATTATTTTTAGCACCTGTGAAATTATATACTTTTTTTTTTTTTTTTGCTGTGCTGTGAGGCTTGTGGGATCTTAGTTCCCCGACCAGGGATTGAACCCTTACCCTGACAATTAAAGTGCAGAGTCCTAACCATTGGACCACCAGGGAATTCCCAATTATATACGTTTTTTGTAGTTCAGTTCACTTATATCTTATTACCTTATTTCCTACATTTTAGTTATTATTAATACTGTTCAGATTGTGAAGTTTAAATTGAGAAATGAAGGTTTTGAGCAATTTATTATACTTTATAAAAATAATACTTTTGGCTGAAAGTGTGGGATTGACTCACATTTTCAAGTATGAATCCCAGGTTGGATTTTTTTCTTTTAACTCTCACCAAACATTGTCCAAAAAATGGAATCCTGAGATGTAATTGCATTCCCAAATATTTGTCTAACTCTTAAATACTAGGCACTGTGCAACTTTCATTTGAGTTTTGGGTGTTAGGCCCACAGTCAGAATGGAGAATAGTCCTTATTGAATTCCTTATGAGCTAGCAAAGAGCAAAGATAATGTTAGGAGTTGGGAAATAGAGGAGGAATTTAGTTCCATTCACTTTTTAATCAGAGACATTGAAAGCGTTGCCCTTGGGGAAAGTATAAAACTTTTTTCTTGATATTTGATCATTTATTTTTACATTATTTTAGGTTTGCAGTAATTATCTGCAGGATTCGCCATGACCCCAGCTCTGAGGGAGGCAGCAACAAAGGGTATCTGCTTTTCATCTTTACCAAGTACCATGGAGTCGGACAAGATGCTATGCATGGAAGGTCCAAGAACGGTAGATGAAAAGCTAAAAGGAGACACTTTCTCTCAGCTGCTGGGATTTCCAACTCCTGAACCTACTCTTAGCACTAATTTTGTGAATTTAAAACATTTTGGCTCCTCTCAGTCTTCAAAACATTACCAGACTGTTCTTTTAATGAGTTCTAATGCTACATTAAATAAATACAGTGAGAATTATAAACAAAAGAAATTAGGGGAACCCCACTGCAATAAGCTGAAAAACATACTGTGTAATGGTAGCAACATTCAGCTCAGTAAAATCTGTCATTCTCATTCTGAAGAGTTCATCAAAAAGGAACCTCTGTCAGATACCAAAAGTCAGTGCATGACAGATGTACAAATTATTTTGGATTCAAATATAACCAAAGACACTAATGTAGATAAAGGACAACTGAAAAACTGTAAGTGGTACCAAAAGAATGCACTTTTGGATAAAGATAGTGACGCTGAGATTAAAAAGGGTTTATTGCACTGTGCTCAAAACAAAATTGGGCCTGACCACTCAAACGTGCCTATTAGTTCCTCAACTGCTGAAAAAGAGGAGGAAGTGAATGCTCGTTTACTTCATTGTGTAAGCAAACAGAAAATTTTACTTAGCCAAGCTAGAAGAACTCAGAAACATTTGCAGATGCTCCTGGCAAAGCATGTTGTTAAGCACTGTGGTCAGCAAATGAAATTTTCTATGGAACATCAACTCCCCAAAATGAAGATTTTTCATGAACCTACCACAATTTTGGATAACAGTTTACCTAAATGCACTGAAATTAAACCAGACATCAACTTATTGACTGCAGAGAATAAATTGTGGAATGATACAAAAAATGGCTTTGCACGGTGTACAGCTGCAGAAATCCAAAGATTTGCACTGTCTGCTACAGGGCTGTTGTCTCATGTTGAAGAGGGTCTGGATTCTGATGCAACTGATAGCAGCTCTGATGACGATTTGGATGAATATACCATTAGAAAAAATGTGTCAGTGTAAGTGCAAAATTATTATTAGACCTTTTACTGTTCTGTATATAGCAGCAATTTTGTCTTGATTTCAAGATATGTTTAAAAGAAATAGATTTTCTAAAATCTTAATGCCATAATCTTTAAGTTATAAAACTTTGGTGAATTTTTAAAATGTTTCTTTTGTTAAAAATGACAGTCTGTTAATACATACATACTATTTAAAAATAAGTTACCCAACTGCTCTATCTAGGGAAAAAACCCAGATAGGAATAATGAAAAATAATTAGCTATAAATATGTATTTTTCCTGTTCTTGAATAGAATAGGCTGTGGACAGGGCTTAAAATTTTGCTTAAGTTATCTAGCCAAAATGTATAGCTAAAAAAATTTAAAGTCTGCGTAGGTAGCCCTCACTGGCTTCAGGAGTTTATCAGTTGGCAGTACATATAAATTGACCTGCTAGTTAGAAAATTTTTTTTTAACTATTTATATGCTCGTATTCACAGCTTTCAGCTCTGGTCTTTACCAATTTAGTCAATTTTTGCTAGATTAATATAACCAAAACAAAATTATAATGTCAGCTCTTAGATACCTATTGAATGCTTATTATGTGCTGGACCCTAGAGATTCAGTGATAGACAAAATATTCAGCCTCTACCCTCTTGGGAATCTGCTTCAAACAGAGATACCTAGATATTTTATAAAACGAAACAAAACAAAACAGAAGCACAGAGAAAAATAGTTTTACCTATCATACCATTTTAATACTCCAGAACAGTTCTGATAGAAGTTTCTGGGATGATGGAAATGTTCTATTTCTGTGTTATCCAGTAGGCACTAGTCTCATGTGGCTATTGAGCACTTGAAATGTGGCCAGTACAACTGAAGAACTGAATTTTTTAAAATTTATTTATTTATTTATTTATTTATTTATTTATTTATTTATGGCTGCGTTGGGTCTTCTTTGCTGTGCGCAGTCTTTCTCTAGTTGCGGCGAGCGGGGGCTACTCTTTCATTGCGGTGCACGGGCTTCTCATTGTGGTGGCTTCTCTTGTTGCAGAGCACAGGCTCTAGGCACGTGGGCTTCAGTAGTTGTGGCTCGCGGGCTCTAGAGCGCAGGCTCAGTAGTTGTGATGCATGGGCTCAGTTGCTCTGCGGCATGTGGGATCCTCCCGGACCAGGGCCTGAACCCATGTCCCCTACATTGGCAGGTGGATTCTTAACCACTGTACCACCAGGGAAGCCCAGAACTGAATTTTTAATTTTATTTAATTTGAATTAATTTTATTTTAAACAGCCAGCTAGAATATAGTTTCTAATCTAGCTTTCAGAGAATCTGTTAATGTCCCTAAATTGATGCAAAATACTGTGTATATATGTGGCATTTGGGGAGGAAGAAGTTCATCATTTTTATCAAATTCTCAAAGATAAGTGAGAATCATTATAGAATTAGAAGCGGAATACATTAATTTTTACTAATAAGTAGAAGGTCAGTATATTAATTTTTATAGTAAGGAGTAAAATGTAAAACAAAGTGAGCATTCCAGGCTTTTTGGTGTTCTGTTATCACTATATTTGAAATGGATTTGAATGAGAGCTAATAGTTATTGAGGACATATTTTTCTAACTGGCATTGTGCTATTTACTTTACATTTGATATATTATTTAATCCTTTCAACAACCATGGGAGGTAATTGTTGTTATCTTTATTTCGCTTAATAAGAAAAAGGCTCAGCATGGCTAAGTGACTTGCCTATGGTCAAAAAGCCAGATAAGTGGTGGAGCTAGGCTTCTTGCCCATGTATGTGAAACTTTAAACCTATGCACTTTCTGTTGGACCATCCAACTTTGTCAACATTATATCAATGATGCTTACACATTATTAAGCAAGTGTGTTCTATAAGAAGTCCAGAAATTTATCAGGTTTTCTATTTATAATGCTTTTGAAGTAATTCAATTTAATAACATTTAGTAGGTAAATGCTGTAAATTATTTACATTTTGTTGTTGAGAAGAGCTAATGGGCAGGGTTTCTTTTTTTTTTTTTTTTTTTTTGGCGGTACACGGGCCTCTCACTGCTGTGGCCTCTCCTGTTGTGGAGCACAGGTTCCGGACGCGCAGGCTCAGCGGCCATGGCTCGCGGGCCCAGCTGCTCTGCGGCATGTGGGATCTTCCCGGACTGGGGCACAAACCCGTGTCCCCTGCATCAGCAGGCGGACTCTCAACCACTGCGCCACCAAGGAAGCCCTAGGGCAGGGTTTTTTATTATTGAAATATAATTGATGCACAATGTTATGTTAGTTTTGGGTATGCTGTGTAGTGATTTGACATTTACATGCATTTTGAAGTAATCACCAATATAAGACTAGTAACCATCTGTCCCCATACAAAGTTATTACAGTATTATCAACCATATTCCTTATGCTGTATATTACGTCTCCGTGCCTTATTTGTTTTATAAATGGAGGTATATACTTCTTTAATCCCCTTCACTTCTTTCCCCCACCACCCCACACCCTCCTCCTCTGGCAACCACCTTTTTACTTTCTGTATTTATTAGTCTGTTTTTGTTTTGTTCCGCTTGTCTTGTTTTTTAGATTCCATATATGAGATCATATGGTATTCGTCTGACTTATTTCACATAGTATAATACCCTCTAGAGTCATCCATATTGTTGCAAATGGCAAGATTTCATTTTTTTATGGCTGAATAATATTCCATTGTATGTATATGTATATATATAAAAAAAACTTCTCCATTCACCTATGGATAGACACTTAGGTTGCTTCCGTGTCTTGGCTCTTGTAAATAATGCTGCAATGAACATGGGGGTGCACATATCTTTTCGAGTTAGTATTTTCATTTTCTTCGGATAAATACCAGGGAATGGATTGCTGGATCATAAGGTAGTTCTATCGTTAAATTTTTTGAGGAACCTCCATACTGTTTTCCATAGTGGCTGCACAAATTTACATTCCTAACATTAGAGCACAAGGGTCCTTTTTCTCTGCATCCTCATCAACACTTGTCATTTCTTGTCTTTTTGATAATAACTATTCTAATGGTGTGAGGTGATAGCTCATTGTGGTTTTGATTTGCAGTTCTCTGATGATTAGTGATGCTGAGCACTTTTTCATGTGCCTATTGGCTATCTGTATGTCTTTTTTGGAAAAATGTCTATTCAGGTCCTCTGCTCAGTTTTTTTGTTTTGTTTTGTTTTGTTTTGTTTTTGCGGTACGCGGGTCTCTCACTGTTGTGGCCTCTCCCGTTGCGGAGCACAGGCTCCGGACGCGCAGGCTCAGCGGCCATGGCTCACGGGCCTAGCCGCTCCGCGGCATGTGGGATCTTCTCGGACCGGGCCAACACCCGTGTCCCCTGATTGGCAGGTGGACTCTCAACCGCTGCGCCACCAGGGAAGCCCCACTCTGCTCAGTTTTTAATCAGGTTGTTTGTTTTTGATGTTGAGTTGTATGAGTTCTTTGTATATTTTGGATATTAACCCTTTATCAGATATATCATTTGCAAATATATTTTCCCATTTAGTATTCAGCCTTTTGATTTTTTGATAGCTTCCTTTGCTATGCAACTTAATTTTAAGCAACTTAAAGGCAAGTACTACTTTTTCTGTCATTGTATACCCAGTTCCTAGCACTGTCTGCTTTTTAGTGGTTGTTTGGTATTGGTTGAGTGAAAGAATGAATTTTTCTGTATTTGTATATGTAGCTGTAAAGGTACAAAAATCAAGGTTGGCAGTCTGTAAAATTTTCTCTTTCTATATGTTTTATTTTTTCTTCTTCCATTCTGCAGTATATCTTTACTTGATTTTTCCCTCCTTTCTTCCTTGGTCTCTTGTAACAAACTGGTCACAAAATGTATCTTATACATCTTAGAACCCGCATGAGTGTGTGTTGAATGAATGAATGAATAAAATATACCAAAATATGGACATTTGAAAGTCATTATTTTATTCTAATATTTAAAATTTTAATTTTGATAAGTAAAATTGATATGTGTATTATGCTTATCTTAAAAATCTTAGATTATATGATAACTAATGTCTTTTTTTTTTTTTTAATTTATAGCCCATATAAGAAAAACAAGTTCCTTCACTCCATCACTCTCATCAGGAAATTTACCTGTGAAGGAATATGATGGTTTTAAGAAATTGGAAAGTACTCACATTAGCCATTACCAGTTATTTAAAATATATATTTATATGTAGACAGTAGATTAATTTATAATGACATTACTGATATACTTTAAAGACAACTTGTGGCTGAAAGACTAATGTGCATTAGGCACTTTTCTAAAAAGTCAATTTACTTTGCAAAGCAAAACAGGAGGACTTTATATTTTTTGTAGGTTTGAGATATAATCCTTATAATATGAATGGAAACTCCCCCCTCCATGTTCTGTCTCTTTGGTGAAGGAACACAAGTTATGGACATACTTGTGTTACAGTCGTGGCTTGCTCTGTGACTCTGAGCAATGGTTAGGTTATTCTTAACCCACTGAATCAGATTCCTCTTTTTTGGTCTACCTTAAAGAGTTCTGGAGATGATTAGATGAAATAATAAATATAAAGTACCTATGCCTAATAAGGCACTGAGTTGATAGCCAATAAAGAGTGCCTTATTAAGCAGTTTATGGTTGTGGAAGACTGGAGCTTAATATCCCATGGAAAACTTGGGGAGCCAGTGTAAAATACATGCCTGAGTTAACCATTTGAGAGGTGAAGAAGCTGGAGTATTTGTACATCAAATCCCGTCAGTTACTGGGTGAAGACTATTCCTGGTTTTACTAATTCCCTGGCAGTTCTGTTCTGCCACTTGAGTGACAAAGACTGCTTAAGCACCACCAACAAAAAGCCCTCAAAGAAATGCAGGTGCTGGCAGTTGGAAGTCAGTCTGTGTCTGCTGAACTGGTATGTGTGAAGGGATGTGGATGGGTTTGACACACTGTGTTACAATTATGTTACCTCTCATCTGGTGGTAAGGCATTAGAGTTCTAGCTTTTATTTATTTAT